CATTGTTCCAGAAGTCACACCGTACCATGTCGAGGCTGTATATTGAGTGATCAAATTCCAAGGCATTCATAATGCTTTGGGACAGGATGGGCGTTGTAACCAATAAGCAAACGCCTGGGTTGCAAGGCCAAAATTAAACCTTACAGAAGCAACAGGCGACTACATAAAATAAAAGGGTCCATGCTTCATACTAATTAAAGCATCTACACTAATTTGTCAGCCAGAAAAAGTCTAATGGACAAGCTCAAACACAAAACTTCCAAATTAAACAGAAAAAGACTGATGGGCAATGCCTAAACCCTAAAGGCATTGCGCTCTGCCTTTTCACTGTAGCATGAAATTGAATGATCAATGAATAAAAATCTCATAATACAACATGATGGAAGATTACAAAACTAGCATAGGTATAGCAAAAGTGAAAGCACTTACCTTAGACCAGTCAAATTGCAGTCCAAGGGTACTCCACTGCAACTTCCGCAATAAAACAGAAGCTGAAACGGACTTGCATGTCTTTCCTCCTGATGAACTATCTTCCTCACGAACATCACCTGTGAGCATCTCCATTGCTGACAACCACTGGGCCTAGAGTTCAAACTATGGGGCGTATTTTCGTCCTCCGCCAGCACTTTCCTCTCTTTCTCCGCAGTAAACAGGGCACTTGGAGGCCCGTGGATTGCTTTGTGATTAGTTCTATTGGGAGGCTGCAGGAAACTCATTTAGCTCTTCCTTATCCATTGGCATTACTCATCAACACTCAATGCCCCATGAGTGAAATAAAAACCTGCGAAGTTTTGCCTTTTCGATTAAACATACTTAAGAAGCCTTGTTGTTCATCATGGTCCAATCATGACTTAAAAAAAATGAGTTTTTTTTTTAATTTTAAATTAATTTTTTGATATTGTTTTATTCTTTTGATGTCAAAATTAAAAAATATTAGTTTGATAATTTTTTTTTAAAAAAATACCACACTTACACTAGCACTCCCAAACATACCAATTAAACAGAAAATAAAATATATTTAAATCAACGATTAGCATTTCCAAACAAGCAACTACTTCCATGCATCAACTCATAATTACGCCATTTAAATTTACTTTAGACTAGCTAGCATGGAAAATGCAAGATTGGTACCAGGCCGATTTTCCAAGCCGAAGACAGGTTGATCAAAACTTCAATAAAAACGATAATCCAAGGAGGAAGTTAATTTACCGTTTTGATGAAATTGACTTGAAATCTAAAACCTTTGACAAGTCGACTTGCTTGGGTTGCTTTTTCCCGAGGAAAAAAAAATAGAATTCGATATTAGCTCGATTAATTAAACGTCATCAATTTTTTGTTCACATATTAAAAAATTTATGTTAACTACTTATTTTATCAATTTAATCGTATTATTTTAATAAATTAGATATCACATGTCACCTAATGAATAACAATGAATTTTAAAGAGGGAGAGATGTTATATAGCAAAGTTATTATAGAATTATCCTATACATTCTCGAATAGGATAGATTTACACCTACAGAATAAATTAAGTTATTATCATATATTTTTATTAAAAAAACATTAGATTAAAAAAGATTCATGAGTATAAATTTTTAGAATACAAGCACGTTCCAATGAAGATACGCTGAGTCTCATGCTAAGTAGATTCAGCCACAATTAAACTTGACATTGTATAAAGTGTTGGGCATTATTGAAACAATAAGTATTCTTCGGACACGCTTAAAGATATAACCATCCTTTCTATAAATATCAAATAAGATGATCCTTTTCCCTTAGACTCGCCTAAGAGAATAACCCACCTCTAAGCTTAAACTAGGGAAGAGCTCGGTTTTTATGGACTGAGTTATATTTAATGTCTTGAATCTTAATTTCTCTACATCTTTTAGGTGTATAAAAATTCTACAATGATTATCATATTTTCATCAAATATTAATACAAATGTTCATTAAATGCTCTTAAAGTAAAATTATATTTTAAACTCTTCTCTTTACTAAAGGACGAGGCTTATTAAATATAAATATATCATGAGATATTCAAAATAAAGGTTCACAAACTTCATTCTCTATTTTATAT